CTGTGTTATCTGCAAGGGAAGACATCCTACCTGCCTACATGATGACAGCTTCACTAGGAGGGTGAAGTTTTCCCCTGCTCAAAGCACAGAGAACACGGATGAAAGGGTAGTGACGACGTCTTTAAGTGTAGAATCTGGATGTGCATCTGCTAACACCTCAATGATCGTGCCAGTGTGGTTGTCCTCACAAAATGACCCCACCTCAGAGAGACTCGTCTATGCTCTGTTAGACACACAAAGCGACACTGTCTTCGTCGAATATGCAGTAAGTCAAAGTCTAAAGGTTGACTCATGCCCAGTGACACTAAGGCTCACCACCATGGTTGGAAGAGATTCGTTGATATCAAGTGAAAGAGTTTCTGGTCTTCGAGTCAGAGGTTTCAATTCTACAGTAATTCTAGACCTCCCCCCTGCATACACTAAGGAATGTATCCCTGTGGATCGCGCTCACATCCCCACCAGTGAGACTGCCAGGTGTTGGAAACATCTTGCTCCTCTGGCAGACAGGATTCCCCTGCTTCAAGACTGTGAGGTTGGTCTATTATTAGGATATAACTGTCCCAGAGCTTTAGCACCCAGAGAAGTGATTCTTGGAGCAGACAATGAGCCATATGGTGTTCGCACGGATCTCGGATGGAGCATCGTGGGCCCTTCCTTGACACATGAGTCGCAAAGCGGTGTTAGTATGTGTCATAGAGTATCTATTAAGGAGATTCCTTCTGTAACACCAGCTGATGTCATCAAGGTTCTGGAGTCAGATTTCAGGGATACTAAAGAAAACACAAAAGTGGTGTCTCAAGAGGACATTATATTCTTGAATAAACTGGAAGAAAACATCAAAACGAACGAGGATGGACATTTGGAAATGCCCCTTCCATTCAAGAAAAGACCCTATCTTCCAGATAATGAGGTTCTTGCTGTCATGAGACTTCAACATCTCAAGCGGAGATTAATTAAGGACCAAGAGTACAGAGATCATTATGTAAAGTTCATGGAAGATGTGATCGAGAATGGTGACGCAGAAAGAATCATGGATGAAGGAAAGAAAGGTGAAAAATGGTACATCCCTCATCACGGGGTGTATCACTCGAAGAAGCCAGGGAAATTGCGCGTAGTCTTCGACTGCTCTGCCCGGTACAAGGGGTCCAGTTTGAACGACCATCTACTACCAGGCCCCGACCTAATGAACAGCCTTACTGGCATTCTTTTGCGGTTCAGGCAGTATCCAGTGGCATTGACGTGTGATATTGAGAGGATGTTTCACCAGTTCCACGTTGACAAGGCAGATCGAGATTACTTACGATTTCTATGGTGGAGAAATGGAGATTTGGACTCTCAGCCTCAAACGTTCCGCATGAGAGTACATCTTTTTGGTGCCTCGTCGTCTCCTGGATGCGCTAACTACGGACTGAAACATCTTGCAAGAGAAGGTGAACATCTGTACCCCCTGGGTTCACAATTTATAATGCGAGATTTCTACATGGATGATGGCGTCTCCAGTGTTGAATGTGCAGAGAAGGCCATCCAGTCTGCGCGAGAAGCTCGCCAGGTTTGCGCACTAGGAGGTTTGAGATTGCATAAGTTTGTGTCCAACAACAAGGCAGTTTTGGAGAGTATACCACCTTCTGAATGTGCTGTGGATGTTACAGCTGTCGATCTGTCCCTCACTGACCAGCCTTTGGAAAGAGCTTTAGGCATTTACTGGCATCTGGAAGATGACAACTTCAGATTTCGTGTCAACCTAAAGGACCAACCAGCGACCCGTAGAGGCATACTGTCCGTAGTGGCCTCATTGTTCGACCCCCTAGGGTTTCTTGCGCCATTCTTGCTTAAAGGGAAGGCCATTCTGCAAGAAATGTGCGTAAATGGCATGGGCTGGGATGATCCATTACCTGATAGTTTGCGGCCAAGGTGGGAGCATTGGAAGGCAGATCTTGCAAACTTAGAGAAGATTGAGGTGCCTCGTTGTATTGTGCCTGCTGGATTTCAGAGAATCACAAGAAGAGAAATCCATCACTTCTCAGACGCCAGCACGAAAGGATATGGCCAGTGCTCATACCTTAGGCTTGAGAACGAACAAGGTGATGTTCATTGTTCTTTGCTCATGGCAAAATCTAGAGTAGCACCACTTAAGGTCACGACAATCCCTCGGTTAGAGTTGACTGCTGCGGTAGTGTCAGTGGCAGTGAACGATATGTTGAAGGAAGAAATGAACCTTGCAGATGCAGAGGCATATTTCTGGACTGACTCTCAAGTGGTGTTAGGCTATATAAACAACGAAGCTCGCCGCTTCCACACGTTCGTCGCAAATCGAGTTCAGAGAATTCATCACAGTACAAGTCCTCAACAGTGGCGATACATTCCCTCAGATGAAAATCCAGCCGACTATGCATCACGAGGTATGAGTGTTGATGATCTTGTCGCTTCCAGCTGGTTCAGAGGACCGAATGTCTTGTGGAAAAGGCAAATAGCTCCCCCTGTGGATGTTAACACACAACTTCCAATTGGTGACCCAGAGGTCAAGAAGGCTCAGTCACTGAACACGCAAACGGTACAAAATTCCTGCTTATCCAACCGTCTCACAAGGTTGTCTTCATGGTCCAAGGTCATTCAAGCAGTTGCGCGTCTGCTTCGTAGAGTCAGGAAGGACAAGTCAAGTGACCACAGTACAGTGGCAGAACGAGAGGATGCTAAGTCCATCATCATCAAAGACTTACAAAGTCAGACGTATGCAGAAGAGATAGCCTTACTCCGTAAGGGCAAGCAACTCTCACGCAACAACAAGTTATACAATCTAGATGCCTTTGTTGACCATGACGGATTGCTCAAGGTGGGAGGGAGGCTTTGTAATTCTTCTGTACCTTACTCCATTAAATATCCTGTCATTCTTCCAAAGGAACACCATCTTACAAAACTTCTGATCACCGATTGTCATGAGAAAACTGAACATCAAGGAAAGGGATTGACTATAAATGAGATCAGATCAAGAGGATATTGGATAACAGGAGTAAATAGGGCGGTAGCCTCCTTTGTACGACGGTGTGTGGGATGTCGCAAGCTTCGCAGGCCCACAGAAGAGCAAAAAATGGCCAACCTGCCCTCAGAGCGTTTAGATCCATCCCCTCCTTTCACTTACTGTGGAATGGATGTTTTTGGTCCTTTCATTACCAAACAAAGCCGTAAATCGTACAAGAGGTATGGACTTCTCTTTACCTGTTTCTGTTGCAGAGGCATCCATATTGAGATGTTGGATGACATGTCCACGGACGCCTTTATCAACGGACTGCGCTGTTTCATCGCTATTAGAGGAGCAGTTCGTTTAATAAGGAAAGCAGTGTGACTTTGTCTTCAACGCACCCCACTCAAGTCACACAGGAGGAGTTTGGGAGAGACAGATTAGAACTGTGAGAAGTGTCCTTAATTCCACTCTGTCCTTATCTTCTGGAAGGCTTGATGATTCTTCCCTGCGGACCTTCTTCTACGAGGCTATGGCGATTGTAAATAGCCGACCGCTCACAGTAGACAATCTGAATGATCCTAAGAGTCCTGAGCCCCTTACCCCAAATCACCTGCTCACTTTGAAGACTACCCAAGCTCTACCGCCCCCTGGAAAGTTTGTGAGAGAAGATGTATATGCTCGCAAAAGATGGCGCCATGTTCAATACTTGGCAGAGCAATTTTGGGGCCGTTGGCAGAAGGAGTATGTGTCTAACATTGCAACAAGGCAACGCTGGCTTACACCAAAAAGGAACCTGCAAGTTGGAGATATAGTCTTGGAGAAGGCAGACGATCTGCCCAGGAATGAGTGGCGCTTGGCAGAAGTTATTGAGACAGTGGTTGACAAGGATGGCTTGGTGAGAAGAGCCAAGATACGGTTTGGAGACAGAAAACTGGGGAAGGATGGTAAACGTCTGAACAAACCTTCAATAGTTGATCGCCCAGTACAGAAGCTGGTCCTGCTGCTGGAGGCATCCTGAACTTCCTGACATATCCTTTGATTTAAACAGTTCATAGTGAAACGTTTCAGTTTTCCCTTTACATCTAGCCTTAAACATGGGTAATTATCTTTAGAAATCATTTGTGATTAAAGTTTGAGATACATAGTCACTAATGATTTGGTGGGAGTATAAATAACCCTCAGTTATTCTTTAGTTTTGGGCATTGATATATCATTCTGACATTATCGTAATTCAATATTTCTTAATATTATCTTAATATACATGTTATATTCTTAATTGGTTTATTAGTTTATTATATATTTGGAGGTTTGCTTTGTAACGTTTAGTTATTTAACCTATAGAGACCTTTATTTTGAAAGGCGGCTTGCCGGAAATGCGAACAGATCGCTCGCGCGCAGGAAGCGCGCATATACGGAGATTGCAGACAGACGGAGACACGGAACCATGCGGTCACGGATTCACACATCTGAATAATAGTGTGTTAAGGTCATCTAAAAGTGAATTTAGGCATCTAGTCGCTGTTTATTTTTTATTTTTGTAGTATTTTTTGTTTGTTTTTTAGCACCTGGTTGGAAAGGAGTACAAGGTATAGTTCATGTATATTTATGCACTTGTATAATCAATGCTACATAGCATATCTTGTCCTTATGATTGTTTTATATATGTTACTTTAATTTTTGAGTAATTTATGGCATTTATATTAATGCTAGTAATAATTTAGTGATTTATTGCTATATTTTACTGTTTTGTTTCGTGTATGTGAATTATTTTCAAACTCCAATAATGTTAATTTATTTGTTCTAGCTCTTACGGTGTTGTGAAGGTGTTGTGAAGGTGTTGTGAAGGTGTTGTGAAGGTGTTACGGACAATAAACAGACAACATCAGTGAGAGAGCGACTTTTCTTTATTCAATCGGGCTGCTACACGGCGAGCTCAACGATTTGCAAATCAGGCTTAAATCGGGCTTAAAATCCTGTAGTGTGAACTTACCTTAACAAAGATAAACAAATGTTTATCATTATTAGTTAAAGTGAACTACTGTAATGTAGTTAACTAATGTTAACTACAAACTGAAATAATCTAGTGCTTGTCATGATAAACCCATGCCTGATTTCCAGTGTGTAACAGCACAGATCTTCTCCAGACTCACTGTTTTGGACGATGTCCTGCATCTTCTTCCAGACTCTGAACAGCAGGTTGCCCAAGTATCGCGACACATAAATCAAAGCTCCAGAAGCCATCTGTGGATCCGGCTGTGAGATCTGGACTCTGGAGGAACATTCAGGAGTCAGAACTGCAGTGGATCAGAACCAGAGAGACCAGAGACACCAGCAGATCACTCACCTTTCCATTGAGACTGGAAACTCCTGCAGAACAAACACAACATTTATCATCAAGAACTCAATTTATCATCAATAAATCAAACAATGATGTGAAATCAGACCTTCAGAAAGCAGACGTCATTGGCTTTCATCGTCTCCTCCATATCGTTGATTGTGTGTGAAAGATCTGAGATGTGTCTGTCCATCTCCTCCAGCTTCTCCTTCATCATCTGCTTCTTCTGCTCCTCTTCCTCTCTCAGTGCAGTGATTGTAGCTTCTTCTTCATCTCTGAGGAACTGATGAAGCTTCTCAAACTGCTCTTTAATCTGACACTCTGTGTGCTCAGCTTGAGACTGAAATCACACCACATTCACTTCAATTAGTGTGTGTGTGTGTTCCAGTCAATAAAGGAAAATTGAATTATGCCAGACAAATCAGTCGTTCTAACTATATGCATCAAAAAGTCAAAAGGAATCAATCCAAACCTTGATGTGTTGAACTGTTTCCTCAAACTCTCTTTTAATGTTTTCATTGTGTTTCAGTTTCTCTTGCAAGGACTTCAGTGCTGTATTGAGCTCCTCCTGGAATTTAAAGAGAAAATCTATGAGATATAAGACAGTTCTGTAATATGATTATAAAGAGTTTTTATGTAATACATAAGCTTGAAGGGCTAGTTAACTCTAAAAATGAAAATTCAGTCATTCAGTCAAAATGTCGTTCCAAACCCCTAAGACTTTCGTTCATCTTTGGAACACAAATAAAAATTGTTTTGATGAAATCTGAGAGCTTTTAGTCACTCTACTGACAGCTATGCAACTGAAACGTTTTGCTCTTTTATGAAAAGGCTTATACATAGTTCCCACAGGCAAAAAAATTGTCACGTGACCTCCCCGGAGACGCCATCTTTGAGGGCAAAACCGCTGTGTTTACCATAGGCGTTTACAACGTTTTATCAGAGAATGTCGTTTTACAAACAAATATTTATGTCTGTTTATATTGTTATGCAAATCATGAAAAGACAAAGTGTAATAGATTATAAAGAGACTATTAAAACAAGACATAGAGAGGACCAATGCGAAAATTTCATTCATAAATGGTGTGTATCCTTATGCAACAAAAGAAGCACTGAGCACCGATTATGCAACTTTGCCTCAGATACAGTATTTTCATGTGTACAATTATCTGGTATTGGTGAGGAGTTTTTACACATGTGAGCAAAGTATTTTCATGTGTACAATTATCTGGTATTGGTGAGGAGTTTTTACACATGTGAGCAATTCCAAGCCTGGAAATCACTGGAGGTGTACGGTCAGATTGACGTGGGGTTGGTTTGGTGACGTTTGCTCAAGTGCAATCAATGGAAAAGTAACTTAAGTCATTATAGCGAAGTAGCATGATGCTAATCTGTCTATTAAAAAGCCATAGCCTGCACAACTTAATTCCTATGTTCCCCAGTCACCGGTGATTTCTGTAATATGCATGTACTTGCGGGCGTCATGGTTCGGTGCATGAATATTAAAATAAATAACTCGCGTGCAATTTAATTAATGTAATAAATGAGGAACTACATTATACGCGGGATCTTTAGGGACATAATCTGAGATTGCAATGCTGGAATGTGAGATCAAACAGTGGAAACAATGTTGTTTTGTATGTTTTTAATACCTCGTCATTTTGTTCATACAGGACATTATTCAAACTGCAATGTGTTAACTTATATTTATTTACACTCGCAATAAAACACAACATTATGCTTTTGTCAAACAAATTCGTGCGTGTTTTGAGTGAGTTTCTTTCCTGTTTATCCTCGCCAGCCATAATCTCCATCGTTGTTCGGACAAAAGCTTAGTCTTCTCACATCCATATGGAGTCTAATGACGGGTATAGTGTAAAATCCCGATTTAACTGAACCTCCGGCACGATTTTATCATCCATTGACTCAGCAGGAGATGACCATTTTCACTTTATAGCACGAAACTCATTTCACTTCGTTCAACTCGTATTGCTTCTTCTTATGTTTTGCCCTAAGCAATGGCGCCGGGTCGGCAAATGCCCGTATGTTGTGACGTCATGTGGGAACTATGTATAGGCTATGTGCACAACTGTAGTTTCGAACTTCCGCTTTTGTCAGAAGTCGGCATATCAGTTTCCGGTCTCATCCGTATCCACTAATAAACAAACAAGACGAGAGCTGCTGTTGTACGAAAAAAAGGAGATCTTAAACACATCTAAGTTTCTAAGAACTGTACTGGATCTAACGTCCGTTTCACACCCGTTTGCAGTGTGTGTTGCGGTGCAGGAGCGTGCTGTTAGTGCGTTCACATATTATGATGCGATTCCAGTGAATAACAACAAACACATATTTTATATTTTTTGCGCGTCGCCCAAAATGTCTATTTTGTGCAGCCACTGCGCACGAAGGTTGGTGTTTATCAGGAAGCAGTAGAAGCTCAAATGGCTGTTAGCGACTTGAAGCAGAGCAGGGCTTTCACTTTTCACTGGTGTGGTGCGTACAGCGATCGTTTCCACACCGAGTCTATTTCTGCTGTGCTGCAAACGCTGGTGGTCAAATGATAAAGATTGACCTGAAGATGTAGTAATTTCACCATAAATGCACATTTAATCAAGGAAAACTGCAATTTACTTCAACCAGGCGACAGAATGAACACTCGTGGACAATGAACAATGAACAATGAACAATCGTGGAGGTGGAAAGACAAGTTATTTGTGACATGCAAGATCTATTGTTTTAAAATTAAAATGCAAAAGAAAGGGGAATTCGGCTGCTTTTGTCAATTTCAAGTTTTATTTTATATTATTGCGATTTTAATATAGTAAATATTTGACCACTTGCTTGAGCCACTTATAAGTAATGCATGGAGTAATAGCCCTAACTTACATTGTTTAAATTGTGTTTAAACGTGCATACAAAAGAATCGCAATGCTGACACAACTTTTTGTTTTTGTTGCAGCATAACTTCTGGACTTTAAATAAAAACATCTAAGTTTCTAAGAACTGTAGGTGGATCAGGACCTAACATCCGTTTCACACCCGTTTGCAGTGTGTTGCGGTGCAGGAGCATAGCCTATTATGCGATTATGATGCGTTTGCAGTGAATAACTGATCCGCGGCTGTACAAAACACGTCCTCGCTTTTCCCATAGCGTATAGCTATGCAGTACGAGTGAACCGTTCACGAAAGGGAACTCTGAATCATATAAAGTGATCGAGTCTCTTCAGGAAATTTTGACTAAACCGCTCAATTCAAATGGATTCGTTAAATAATCCTTTTATGAAGTGTCAAAGTGGTAGTTGTGTAGCTATGAAAGGAGGGACACAAAGCGCTCAGATTTCATCAAAAAGATCTTTATTTGTGTTCCTAAGGTGAACAAAAGTATTTTTGTTTTGGAGGGACATGAGGGAGAGTAATTAACAGAATTTTTAGTTTTGGGTGAACATCCCCTTAAGTCTTTAACCTGAAATTAAAATCTGTGTTACCTTGTATGATGAAACCACTTCACCGATGGGTCTGAATTTATGAGTGTCGTGTTTCAGTGAATTAATACACACGACACACAGAGGCTGTTTGTCCTCCAGACAGAAGAGTTTGAGTTTCTCACTGTGTAAACTGCAGATCTCATCAGACGTTGATGAACGCCTCTCATTTCTCTCCGTTAGGAAGGACTCACACAAGTTTTTTAACACACGATTACATGGAGGATCATCTCTTGAGGATCTTCTCCTGCAGACAGGACACTCCTGGGTTTCCTTGGTTCTCCAGAACTGTTGAATACACTCTTTACAGAAACTGTGACTGCATGACAGAAGAACAGGAGCCTTGAAGATTTCTTGACACACGGGACAAGAAATATCATCTTGAGATAGTGAAGCCATTTTCTCTGTTGGAGATCCAGCAATCTGAACTTTACTTTCACTTTCTGAATCAAGGTTTGAAAAATGAAAAAGCACAAGAAACACAAATATGTGTTCAGAAACAAGCGTTTCCAATCCTCCTGGAAAGTTTTTTTTTTCTCTTAGTTCTTCATCGACTGATGTTTCTTCATGTGTTTGTCAAGACATTAAAGCCAGCATGACAGGAGAAACAACAAGTCCGTCTCTTCTAAGTATTGTAAGAGGGTGGACTTCCTGATCATGTGTGTGTGTGTTTTAAAATCTTTCCCTCACACACAGTGTGGCCACAAACGTTCACCATTGTCAGGTAAAACACACCCCCTCATTAGCATATGGATGACAAAATATATAATTGTGAAAATAAACAAATGTGTACATATATACATAGACATTAATAAATGCATAAATACAAAAAAAAAAAAAAAAAACATTATACATTACAAGGAAATAAAAGTATAAATCGAGGGCTTGGAGCCAGAGTGGCATAAGTGGCTTTTGACAAACTTTACAGGAGAGACTAAAAGTATTTAGGTAAAATCGTATGGCATATTAACACGTTCTAAAACATTTTAAAATAAAAAAATATGCCAAAAACCATCAGATATGCCTTTTGGCATCAAACATTTCCAAGTCTATGGACATATTGGCCCTCATTTATCAATCTAGCGTAGAAACGGGTGTATCCACAAGTTTCCTACGCCCCATGAGGCCTTGCGTCAAAAGTGGGCGCGACTTCCGGTTGGAAGTAAACAAAGCGCGATTTGACATGCTTGACACTCGTTCATTCAACAGGTGACAGTCATTCAAGTTATAGCGATCCAAACTAGCTAACGATGTGGGAACATAACCTCAACGAAATTCAAAAGGGTTAAATAACAATACCTTTACCCTCCGCAGTAGTTGGGAGTATTATAATAACATTATTAATAATCAATACTCATCAAGGCATGGTGACAGACAGTTGTGCGAGCTGACAAACAATTAAAATAAAAAATACACACTTAGTCATTGTGCTTTGGAGTTTATTCAAAATTATAAATGAATGTGCTGCTTGAATACATTAAGTGGCACATTTGGTATTCTGTCAACACAGGCTTTGATCCTGAGTTTAGGTGTAACGTTAACATCAGTAACGAACAGCCAATCACATGCTGATAGAGTTTATAGAATATTAAGAATTTAAACAAATGTACACAGGAAGATTCGTCGTCTTTTGGGAGGTGATGGAAACTAACGTTACAGTCGTTGGCAGGATCAGAAACGGGCTCTGGCAGGATCACTGTGATTTCGTTTTCAGCTTATGTTTAAAACAATCACGTTTAAGCCACTGAACTAGTTTAGTCCGGTTATACATACAACCGCGAACAGCACATGATGTCCATGAACTCCGTAACACCATCTCTCATAAAGATTTGCGTCTTTAAATAGTAAAATAATTGTCCGAAAAACAGCTAGCCTCTTCGCTAACTAACACACAAAATACCATTGGAATGCTACTTCCGCCGCCTCACCGGAAGTTTCACCCACTTTATTTTTTACAGGAGCGCCCCTCACAGTCTATGTCGGAAACTTGTGGATATGTTGGCGTAAGATTATGCTTACACTGCTCTCACCGCCTGATTTACGAAGCTGTGCGACTGCGTACCTTTGAAATCCAGGTGTACGCAATGCCTGCCCTTGATAAATCCCGCGGCCGAAAACGATCGTCATTAACACGCCCCTAAATATTCATTCTCCGCTCCCCCCACGCCCTCATTTTACGCCATGGACACACGGAAGATGGCAAAGAAGAGAAACTTCTCCGACGTGGAGCCGGAATGACCTGTCACAATGCATTATTTTACAGCACGTCTTTTGAAATGAGCATTCAATTTCGAATCACGTCACATGTTGTATAAAATCCCTGTCGAACTCTTAATTTGAATTAAACTGTGACATCGCTTGTGGGCGGAGTCGGGACATGTACAAACAAGTTCATATCTGCGGCTGTAACGAGACATCATTGTTTGTTTGGATGTGTGTGCGTTTTTGACAACGTAAGTTGACAACGTAAGTATTAAATGACATTATAACTGCTCTTGATTACAGAAACTACTGCGCAGCAGTATTTATTGACCTGGCCAAGGCCTTTGATTCTGTCAATCACAACATTCTAATTGATAGATTGAAAAACCTGGGTTTCTCTAATGATTGTCTTGCTTGGTTCACAAATTATTTTTCTGATAGGTTTCAATGTGTTCAGAGGGACTACTCTCCAGTCCTCTTGTTGTCTCCATGGGGGTGCCTCAGGGTTCAATCCTCGGGCCGACTTTATTTTCTATATATATCAATGGCGTTGCTCTTGCTGCAGGAGACTCAATGATTCACCTCTATGCAGACGATACCATCCTTTATACAGTTGGCCCGGTGTTGGACACTGTGTTAAACAACCTCCAAGAAAGCTTTAATAATATACAACACTCTTTCTGTTCCCTTCAACTGCTTTTAAATTCTAGCAAAACAAAAGTTATGCTTTTTAATCGATCTCACACTGTACTTGATTGTTCAAAAAGTATCATAACTCTAGATGGGTTTGCAATAGAGCGGGTAGATACCTATAAATATGTATAAAATCCCTGTCGAACTCTTAATTTGAATTAATCTGTGACATCGCTTGTGGGCGGAGTCGGGACATGTACAAACTAGTTCATATCTGCGGCTGTAACGAGACATCGTTGTTTGTTTGGATGTGTGTGCGTTCTTGACAAAGTAAGTTTCCAATAGTGAATGTGTATGTGTATAAGTAGACGCATGTATGTTTATTCAATGCTATATTGTTGTTTGTGGTTATTTATGCACATGCTAGTTTAAGAAGAGTTTCGATTAACAGACATGCACAAATATACGGTCTCACTCGGTGTTTACTGCAAATGCATATATTAACCATGCTGATCTTGATCGCTGAAATATATGTGTGATGTTATTTAGTATTCTATTTACAGTTTGAGAGGGCTGTTCTAAGTAATTTATCACTAGTAGGCCCATTTGAATTGGTTTAGCACCAAATCTTGTGACCCTGTTCTATTACTGGAGCAAGAGCTCCGCCTAGTGGTCATTTGTTTACTTACATTTAATACTGCAATTCCCAAAGTTAATATTGCTTTATTATGGCAATATACCAGCATTGTAGTTAAATATTTTATGTTTATTTGATTTATTCATTGTTATTCATTTATTGCAGAAACCACACTCATGAACCTACATGTAAACGAACTACTTGTGGAGTTATTGGAATAAATCAATGCTTGGGAACTGAAGCTGTCATGAACTTATTTGCTTACAAACCTTCTGATCGAGGTTGAGGATTATATGTTGAAAAACCAGTCCGTTAATGTACATATCTTTAACAAAGTGGTCCTTTGAGCCGGATTTAACATCTTATCCTCATGGCAGCATCTCGGGATTATATTGAAGAACATCAAAGTCTCCGTCCTTCCCGGATCCGACGAATTCCTGGACATCTGGAGGACTTTGTTCTTACTTCCCAACCAAGGCAGCTCGTTCCACCCCCATTGCAAGAGGATTTACGCCATATGCAGATTAGTGAGACCTTTCCTGATCTAGATGCGGACTATCGAACTTCTACTCCTGATAGACTTTTGACTGAGCAGTACCCTGAGGCAACAAGGTTACGTAGAGTGGAGGAGTGTGTATGGAATGTTCAAGAACAAATCAGGGAACTACAAAGCACATTACAAATGTCTCTTGAGCAAGGCAAAGGTACACCACGCATGCATCAGGATTTGCTTTACTCTCATGCTGCAGGTGCTGGACATCAAAGGTCAGTCCCTCACCCAGGCTGTCAGCAGCAATCCATCCAGCAACGTAGTGCCAGCTTGCCTTTTCTCTATGCAGACACAAAACCAAGTCCACAAAGCCCTTATAATCTTGGAATATCAAGGTACTTTTCTCAAACGATACCGGCACACTCATCAACCACAGTATTACCTCAGTCACACAGTCAATCTCCAGTTCACCTGCCATCAGGGTCATTACCTCAGGCTCAAAAGCCCTTGTCTCGTCCAGCATCCGTCCCGGTTACTGAGCGTCATGTAGCACCACATGTGCCACGTCCAGGGTCTGCACCAGCAGGTATGATACATCAGTCAAATGTTAATCAACAACCTGGTGATCTTCAGCAGACATTCCAGCCACAAGTTCAGTTGTTCGGACAACAAAGCGTACCTCCAATGATATCCATGTCTACGGTGTACCGAACTGTAACCGATAACCAGTCAGTTTATTCACTTCCTATGACCTCTGTGCAGAGCAATACTGTAAATCCCAATTATGTGCATCCACAGATTACACAGTCATTACCAGCATTTGCTCCCTCACAGACTCCGATGTTTCAGTACTCAGAACCTCCCCCACGGCAATCTGTGTATTACTCAGATCCATACACACAGGGCTATCGGCCTAACAGACCCCCAGACACACTACTTCAGCAACAGCCATACTCTGCACCGTTATCTTCTACTGTACACCCAGCAGTTCAAGTTCCAAGCATGGTGGATATGGCTATCGCATCCGCTTATGGAATTCCTAAGCCTAAGCTCATTAATTTCACCACGGGGAAGGAGAGTGATTTCGCTCTGTTAAAAAGGGACTTGATGGCATTCTCGGCCCACATCTTCATTTGACAGAGGACTATAAATTTCAAGTGTTACTTGACCATCTCAAATTGCCAGCTGCCTTTCAAATAGCAAAGAGATACATGTATGATCCCATGCCTTATACTCGAGCCATGCAAGCTTTGCAGCATCGCTATGGGCAGCCCCGACAACTGGTACAGGGAGAAATTGCTAACATTCTCCATACACCTCCACTGAGATCAGGGGATGCTCAAGGCTTTGAGGACTTTGCTTTATCAGTTAACACTTTGGTTGGTCTCCTCAATACTTTGGAAGGGTCTTCCAAGACTGAACTTATGTGTGGTTCACATGTCGATAGATTGCTCACCAAGCTGACATCATCTCATAGAGATAGCTTCGTTGAATACTGCATGGCAAAGGGCATTCTCCAGAATGGCACTGACAGAACCTATACGCTTCCTGAGTTCGCAGAATGGCTAGAGAAAAAATCACAAGCGCTTCAGATATCAAGGAGAGCAGCTGAGATCTACAGTTCAGACAAACCTCGCTCTGAAAATAGAGAACAAAAACCTTCAAAGCCACCAAAGGTACAATCCACAATTTACTATGGCATGGATCATGCCAACGAGAAGCCTTCTGCCTCCTCTACATCATCTCTCCAGACAAAGGTAAAG